GTAGAGACGGGGTTTCACCGTGTTGACCAGGATGGTCTCGATCTCTTGACCTCGTGATCCACCCACCTCGGCCTCCCAAAGTGCTGGGATTACAGGCGTGAGCCACCGCGCCCGGCCTTAAAACAATTTTTAAAAAAGAGAAACCTAGCAAGGCAGGAAAGAAGATTCAGAAGAAGAAAATCCGAAGAGGTGGACCCCACCTTTGCAGTCACTTCTACCTGGGGCACGCGCCCACTCCATAAAAGGAAGCTGAGAAGGCTGTGCGGACGTGGAGGGCTGTGCCCTGGGAGGAACAGCCGGGTGGGACTGAAGCCCCATTCTAAATCATCCCAACCCCTAAAATTAGATCTGGAACTGCGGGTGCCTCTAGCCATCTGCCAGAAATAAAAATAAATCATCTTTTTAAAAAGAAAATACTATTCAGGACTCAAATTATTACTCCAGATAGTTCAAATATGAAGCTCAAAACTCAATCAAAAATAACCAGGCAAACAAAGAGAAAAAAACACATGAATGAAACCAACAAGAACAGACAACATAAACCCATCCACAGAGGTACCAGTTAATGAAGTTACAAGACACAGAATTTAAAAGTTACATTCAAAGAGGTAAAATATAGATTTTGTCAGAGAATAGGACAGTATTAAAAGGAACCAAATGGAATTCTAGGAGTTAAAACAAATCCAAAAATACTTCTATAGATGAAGAAAGATTCCCTGACCTGAAAGACAATCACCGAAGAGAAGTCAGGGAAAACATTTTCAAAATAAAATACATAGAGAAAAATGATTTAAAAAAAAAATAGAGAACAAAGGAGAAAAGACAGAAAGGATACAGTGAGAAGCTCGAAAAGACATGCAATTCCAGTCACAAAGAGAGATGACAGAAATGGAGCAAGAATGCCATTTGAAGAAGTAATGGCCAAAGTTTTTCAAAAAACTGCCAGAAAATGTCAGTCCAAAGATTCAGGAAGCCTTATAAGAAGAGGGAAAAAGAAAATGAAAACCACATCTCAAAAAAAGGAAAATGGCTAAAACCAAAGATCAAAAAACAAACATCTTAAAAGCTCTAATTAGCTGACAAAAATAAATAAAAAGTAAAAAAGCCAAAAGACACTGGAAAAATAGTTTTTAAATCTTCAAAGTAATGAAAGAAAATAACTTCTAAACTGGAATCTTATACTCAGTGAAAATATCCTTCCGGAATAATATTAAACTGAGGATAATTTCAGATAATAAAGTATCTTCACTGAAGGAGATAAGAAGGAAGGGGAAAGGAACCACAAGGGCAGGAAGGCTGCAGGTGGGGAGTACCCAGCCTGCGGTGGGCACGGGTGGAGTGATCCCAGCCTGTGGTGGGGAGGGGAGGTACCAGCCTGTGGTGGTGGGGGGTGAGGAGGTCCCAGCCTGTGTTGGGGGGGGTGGGG